GCCCTGGTGCCTACGAACTTCATTCAGCTGATCCGTTGAATAGAGGGACGCGTGACCTGCCTTGTTGTCGTGTGCGCTGTTGGGTGAGGGAACGAGCTCGGCGTTTCTCTCAGAGCGAACACCGGGGGGGGATGTTGAGGGACGTACTTGAGATTTGACTACTTGAGATTTGCCCGTGTTGAGTTGCTCATGGTGATGAACGTTCAGGAAAGCAGATGTATCAGCAGATGAATGCCGATGTATTGACCTCCTTCTCAGTAGGTCTTGGAAATCTCTAAACGGAAATGTTGGAGAGGTATTTCGTCTGAGTTCGCAGTTTCCGTGATCCAAAGGTTTCCATTCCTCACGATTGCAGGCTTTCGCCTTGTCTCAACGAGCGTTCACCCCCTCCTCCCACGACCGATGCCCTCTCGTCCACCTGCCCTATCCCCCCTCGTCCACCAGAGGCACTCGAACAAACAGCGCAAGAAAATTCTCGCGCTGCAGCTGACCAACAACAAGGTCCTGTCGACGGCCGCTTCTGACAAGGAGAGGTCGGCCCGGAGGGAGGGGGACCTCCTGGCAAAGGTGGACACCGCCGAGGACACCATTGCCTCCCTGACCGACACGGTGGCCGAGCAGCAGCTGGCCGCCGCGACGGAGTCCGAGCGGTTTGAACAGGCCCAGCGCCAGCTCGACAACAAGCTCAAGACTTCGAGGCGAGCCGCTCGAGCGGAGCTCGAGTTTTGTGGCGGGATCTCGCAGAGGTAGACAGCGCGTCTGTGTCTCTCTCGCGCTTCACCGTGGAGAAGACCCACCACGAAGATCCTCTCGCACCCATGACCTGGCCCGTCACAGAGGTGGCGGCATTGGGCATGTACGACCGCTCTGCGGCGCACGAGGCGTCGCAAAGGACATGGTGAGCTAACTCTCCAGCGTGCTACAATGCTTCGACGAGATGCTGCTGCATGGGTGGTTCCGGTGTACTGTTGTGTAGTGGCGGCTGGTTGTGCTGTTGTCTTTGTCGTTCGTTTGATTGATATTTATGGTGGTGGTGGTGGTGGTGGTGATTTGTCGACCCTATTGATGTTGTTGTTGTTTGTTGTTGTTGTTGTTGTTGTTGTTGTTGTTGAGGACACAGTTATCTTGATAGCGTCGTAGTCTATGAGTTTGGCTTTCAGGTTTCAGCAGAGCTCTCACTGAATCGTCTGCGAATTTTTCGCGCCCGACCCCTCTGATTCATGCCCATCAAATAGCCACCGTAGGATCACAGTCATGAGGTTAACGCCCAAGCCTGCTCGATATTCGCATTGATATGCCTGTTTTGTCTCAGAGTGATGGCTCGATCGAAAATCCAGTAAGTAACAGCAGCGTATGCCCCCTCCCCTCCCGCTTTCCCTACATGCTTTGGATCTGATGCAGCGCCCGCCTGGATGCCGTGCGGCGCATGGTGGATGAATCAGCATCGAGGTGGGAGGGCGACCAGGCGACGTGCCTGCTGAAGGAGGCACAAGGTAGGGACCGAGAACTCGAGCTGAACCGCCTCTTGGACGCGGGTGAGGAGATGCGGGAAGGACCTCGAGGACGACCTTGCCTTGTCTGAGGAGGAGGTGAGCACTCAACAAAGTACTTGGGGATGATAGCCATACATTCTCTGGCGGCACTGCTACTGTCTATATCGCATCCTAGCTCATGAAGAACCATCGACACGGCAACTCTTGTAACGCCCACCCTTCCTCCACCGCAATGTCTCCGCTGCCGTTGTGGCTCTCGATACACCTTCTTAGTTGGACAAGACTCAGACGGACCTGGATGCGTGCGCCGCGGACATCGAGGACATCCACTCTCGTTCGGTGAACCTTGTTCGCACCCTCCAGGAGGATGCGGCAAAGGCGGCAGTGCACGTGGGAGGTCTCGCCCCGGAAGTTGAGGACCGTATCGGATCGAATTACGACATGATCCGGTACGATTGTGTGGGCGTCGCGTTGATTTGTCTTGGGTTGTGTCGTGCCTTATGATGGTTGCAGATGACGTCGTTGCTGTAGATGATTGTGACGGTACAGTATCCGTTGTTTGTGACGAAGCTGTCACGCTGGGACCTCAGTGCCGGTAAGGACAGGTCGAGTCCTTCAACCCTCCCGCCACTATCTGTCTCGAGGAAGGTGGGCGGATCGAGGAGATGTCACTTGAGAGGTATGTGTTCATGACCCCCCCCCTCCGCACACGCCTCGGCTGTTTCGCTGCCGCACCTTTTAGCGCCCGCTTTGAGTCTGCGCAGCGGCTGGCATTGACGGCCACGTCGACGCTGGAAGAGGAAATCTTCACGTGCCAGGGCGAGAAGGCAGATGCCGTCGACCGAGAGGTCAAGACAGACGAGAACATGCGGAAGCTCAACGAGGACCTCTCCGACTGCGCAAACTACGTGAGCATCCGATAAGCGTGACCGAGCGTGAGATC